TTCGAAGTCCTGATTCCATGCCGTTCGGTTGGCCATGCATCTCTTCAACAGCCGGCGCCGCAATGGGCCCCTCGCAGGGTCTGGGTAGCGTCGCGCCTACGCCGCCGCGAGTCAAAATCCCTGGGCGTACCTGTCAGTCCTTGCAGAGGGGGGGGGCCACGCGCCAGGCGCCCCTGGGGCCAATGGCATTCGGAAACGCATCTGCGCAGGGCCCTAGGCCTCCCAAAATGCCGGCCGATTCAACTGGGGCCTTCTCGGGGCCCTCCAAGAGACCGAGCGGGGGCCCCCGCGTGACTGGCTGAGACCAAACCTGCGATCCTGCCCCGGCCTGCAGGGCGACGCCGACGGGGCGAAACCTAGAAGCGCGCTGCGCCTGCCAATCTACTTGCCCCGAGCCAGGGCCCGCTTGTCCAGGGGCGCGCTAGTCGCAGACCTCAAGAGCCTGGCGCCATCAATCCGCCAATCTGAGGTGCCCGATTGTCGCGGCGCAACAGCGCGCGCGGGGAACCGAGCGGGCCCCGCGCAAACCCCCTTCGGACAAGCTCAACGAAGGCCGACTCCAAGGTTGGCTGCTCCGAGTCTCACGACTAAAAGCCCGGGCCCAATGCAATGCCGAACGCTCATGATTAATGGCTGGGGGGTCCATCTTCCGGCTCGCACTGGAGGAGCACAGACGGGGCTGTCGCAGGGGGCCCCACCTTTCACGGGGGCGCAACGAACCTGCGGTGACTGCGCGCAGGCCGCGGAGGCTGCCGCCTGATCCCCGGGGCGGCGACCCGCAGAGCACGAGGTTGCGGCCCTGCCCGCTGGGCCCCGTGCACCTGCGTGGGGCCTCGGCTGAACCCTGCGCGGAGGCGAGCAGCGAGGCTTCCGGCGCGGCGGGCGCGGGCGCGCGCAACGTTCGACCCCAAACTCCTGGTCGCAATTTTCCACTTGAGCCCGAGGTTCCCTCGCGACTCCAAAAACAAGCCAGGAATTGAGACTCGCGGTCAGCCAGGGCCCGCCCGAGTCGTCTGCGCCATGCGGAGAACTCGCTTCCCACGATCCCGATGCCCTGGCAGACTCGCATCTCCGAACCTATGAGTCGCGCGTGGACGTCGTCCGCGGCGCTCCGAACGCGCGCCGCGGGATGGGCAGTCCAGGTGCTCAGCGGCAGTCTGCAGAGCATTACTTTGGCGAAAGTGATTGCCAAACGATGCGACGCTAGGGAAGTCCCGCGCGCGCGGAAGACGCCGCTGGCATTCTTTTGGAAGCGCGGCGCTCGGGGTTCAGTGGAGAACTGACAGGCCGCGAAAACGAGGCGCGCAGGCACGGCTGCGGCAAACGTTTCGAGATGCGGCGCTGGCTGGGGGGTTCTCTCAGAGAACCTAGAGAGGTCCGTGAACGACGTGCTTATGGGGGAGGTGGAGGTGCCGGCTCAGCAGGCGCAGGCGTCGCGCCCCCACCCCGCTGCCTCGCGCCCCCCCCCCCCCCCCTGACCCCCAAGAGGCAACTGGGGCGCGTTCGGCCCCCCAAGTCTTGGCCAGCACCTGCCCATGATCTCATCCAGCAACAGATCATTGCAATCGGTCGGAGCCCGCCCGCGTCGGCCTCGCCCGTGGGCGCTAAGACAACGCTGGCCCATTTCTCTGGGGGCTCAGGAACCAGAGAATTTCCGACCAGGCGGGGAGGGGGGGGGGGGGGGGGAATCGTCGAACAACGGCCAACTGAGGTGATTGACTCCGCCCCGACCCGTTCCAAAGCGGGCGCGGGGGGCGGCGATCTCAACGCGACCTGCTCGAGGCCAGGGGGCGCCCTCGGATTTGCCATCGCGCCAATGCTGCGCCCGGGGGGGGAGGGGGGGGGGCTCGCTCGCTGGGGAGGAGGGGGGGCGTGGGGGGGGGGCACTTCGCAGAAGCGGCGAGCATCCTTGCCCCCTGTTCGCCACTGCGCATCCAACCAACTCCTGGGAACGATGGCAGGCTGCTTCGCGAGCGGCGCGCCTGGCCACTCCGCCGCCGTCAAAGATGGCCTGGCTGAGCAGGTCACCGCCGATCGCGGCCGCGCGCTACACCCACGGCGCGCTTCTACAGATCTCATTCAGGCCCCGGGGCCCTCTGGAAGTAGCCATCCAGGGCCCGCCAAAACAATCCAGAGCCAGGGCACCTCCAGGACCCATGGATCTCGCGGAAGGTGGATTGGAGGGCCCGCCAGGCCCTGGCTTCGGGAGACGCGCCCTCGAAGCCAGCGCCTAGCTAGCAACGACTGGAGCTGGGCCTGCTGACGGCGGGCCCCCCAGCCCTGCCGCAGCAAGGTCGCCAGCGCCGTCGCGCGAAACCGGGCCCACTGCCCAGTTCGCCCTGCATGTGGCCATGCCATGAACCCCAAATGGATTACAGAGCCAGCTGTCGCAGGTCGTTCCCAGCTTCCCACGACCACGAGGGCTTCGCTTGCTCCAGAACCACTCCAACCAACGGCTTCGTAGGAAACGGCCCCCTAGAAACCGGACGCTCGCTGGGCTGCGAAACGATCGGCCGCGGAGGGTGAGATGGAGAGGCGCGCGCGGGCTGCGAGGGGCCGCGCGCAGCGCGGACGGTTCGGCGATGCACGCGTCTAGGCCGCGCGAGGAGTACGAACGCATCAAGACAACGAAGCAGCCCAGACCCCCCCGAAAAGGGCGCGCATGACGGGGCCGTCGCACTCACCACCGCCGTAGACTCAAACTGTCAGGCCCCGCGTTGGGGTCGCCTCCTATGACCCAGGGGCACCCGCATCCCTGGGGGAAGCTTGCCAGCCGCTGTGGGTTGTCCCCTGTGCACTCCAGCCCCGCGTGCTCATCGATGGTGACCCAGATTGATCTCCGCCGGCGCAATATAATCGAACTTGAGTGCAGAGGTCCTCCCAGACGCGGAGCCTTCGACCCTCCGCGAAAGTGAAACCGACGCTTCGGATGCGAATAGCCGGAGCCACGATCATTCTAGCACTCGTCGCGAGGTCGGTCACCCGTACGATTGGCCGCGGGAAAAAAAACCCTTGCGAGGCCCCGCTGGGAAAACCACTTGGACACTTGGACATTCGGGAGTGCGCGTCGACCACAAGTCGCGCCTCGTGGACCCCCAGAAATGTGACTTGCGGGCCCCGTGGGCAAGCTGCCACCCGAAAAGCTACTGGAAGGACGACCGCACGTTTCGAATTGACGAATGATCGCCGCTCCTCAGGTTTGCATTCCCTGGCCTGCCTTTGGCGCCGAAGAAGGACATACTCAGTCGCGGGCGCATGCCCCGCGGGGCTGCTTGCCGCGCAGCCGTTGAGCAGGCCGCTACCGTACGGGCCCCCGCGCTCCAAATGGCCGAGGTCGGTGTACAAACACGTGGTCCACAACCCTCTGTTGGGGACCCCGATGATGTGGTAGCTGCCGTCGTTTACCCGACACAACATGAACCACCAGGACCGCTCGCAACCTTGAACCTTGAGGAACTAGGCGAACATTTAGTACATGTGGCACTGTTTGCCCGAGCACACGACCATCCCAGGCCACCGAGTGCTGTGCCGCGATCCATGGGCCCAAGGCTGCGGCTATGAACTGGCCCAGGCCAACGACATGACTCAGGCGTGGCGGGGGTGGCGACCGAGAGAAGGTCGCCGAAAATCAAAGGGAGGACCAGGAAGCCGTAGTAGCCGTCGCTCCATCTCTCGAAATGGACGAAGCACGAAAAGGGCCATGGCCGAAGCGGACACTGCAGCAAGGGGCCCTCTGCCCTCCTCAGTGGCCGCTCGTAGTCCTCGTCGCCTCCCCGGACCCCCAGGCCTTCCCCCAGGACCACTGTTTCTTCTTGGGCCGCTCCCCGGCAACACAAGAGCCGGTGGAGGGCCCCAGGAATTCGAACAAAATGCGACGGCGCGCATCGGCTTTGGCATGGGGCTGGAGCCCTTCGCGGATCCACGCGCGCGCATCCGCCCCCCAGTGGGTCCGTCGATATGCATTGATCCGTGCGCGGCCCCAGCAGGAGGCCCTGACCCCTCCTGCGGTCCTTGCTCCGCCCCAGATCCGTGCCATCTCTGATGGCCCATGGGCCCGATGACGAACCCCGGGACCGAACTCGGGGCAGATCGCCCGGGCTGAAGAACGCAGCTCGTCGGTGGTCTGACCGCTCGCAGGAACCGCGCCGACTGAGCATGAAGGGGGCGAAATGAAATCATTGGGAGGAGGCGGAGGAGGGGGAGGAGAAGGAGGAATCGAGGACAGACGCGCGGACCGAAACAACGCACATCGTCGCAACTTTGGCCCCTCGCCGTCCTCCACGGACCTCTTCCATGGGCGCGCTCCGGCCAGGATCTCGAGGCGAGTCCCGCCGCGGCGACGAGAGAGAGCGGCGTCGGCATCTCTCCCTCCTCTGACTGACACCTCGCCCTTCTACATGTGGACAAACGCAGGTCGGCAGGTATCGCAGCGTCAGCATGGTGAGCTAGCGGTATAGGGTATAGTGCAAGAGGGAAGGAGCAACTGCCTTGATTCTGTGGCCAACGAGTTAATCCGAGGTGAGCGCAGCAGGCACAAGAAAGGCAACAGAGAAACAGAGGAACCAGAAAACAAAGCCCCGCGGGTGGGAAGCACCGCAGGTCAGAACACACCCGCAACGCACCCCCACCCCTCTCTGAGCTTTCCGTGCACCGCGGCGAAGGCCCAGAGCAATGGCAAGGTGGCGAACACCTCCCAGGCGCCCGGACGCCCCGCCGACGACGCACGGCCGGCTCACCTGCCAGCTCGCCCGGCCGGTTGGTTACCACGAGTTTCTTAATAAGCGTTGGGGGGGGCGTCACCCCCGCCGACAGCCCCACATCGACCCCCGTCGCGGGCAGCCACCGCATCGCGACGCGACGACGAGGCAAGGTTGATCCCTGTCGGGAGGGTATCCCCCCACGCTGTCGAAGAAACCCAGGGTAATCGGCCGCCGTCCTCGCCCTGGTCCCCCTCCCACAACACGAAGCAGGGCTCGAGCTAAGCCGTGCCTTTCGTTTTCGGTTTGTTTTCGCTTTCCTTCGATCTGTCTTCGTTCTGCCTTTGCTTTTGCGAGATGGTCCACGAAAGCCTGTCACCAAACGCAAGACGCGCGCTGGCCTGCGCGGCAGAGCGCAGGCTGCGCCCGCGCGTCGAGTCACCCCGGGCGGCGCGCATCCGCGCCCTCCTCCTTCAGCAAGATCCAAGAGGGCTCCGCCGGGTCGCTGGTCACGAAAACCTGCTCCGTTCCTCCTCCTCCTCCTCCTCCTCCTCGTCCTCCTCCTCCTCGTCCTCGTCGTCGTCGTCCTCCTCCTCCTCCTCGTCGTCCTCCTCATCCTCCTCATCCTGCTCCCCCTCCCCTTTTCTTCCCGACGGCACCGAAACACGAAGGCCGCAGCGAGGCACTGAATTAACAGGAGGAGGGGGAGGAGGAGGAAGCAGAAGTGGAGGAGGAAGCAGAAGAGAGGAGGAGGAGGAGCAAGGAGCGTGGGAGGGGGCAGGCCTTCTCATGGCGCGCGCGGGGGAGATTTCAAGTATGCGCGGCACCTGATCAACTCTCGCAGTAATGGGAAGGGCGCCGGGTGTGCGCGACCCCTAACCAACCCTCGCAATACCCATTTGTTGTCTCTCCCCTCCCCCTCCTCCTCCTCCTCCTCCGCCTCCTCCTCCTCCTCCTCCTCCTCCTCCCCCTTCTCTTCCTGCTCCCTCCGTTCCTCCCTCCGTCCCTCCTTCCTCCTTCTCCCTCATCTCTCCGTCCCTACCACCTAATCCTCCCTCCTCCTCCTCTCTCTTCCTCTTCTCTGGTTTTCCTCGTCCTCCTTTCCTCCTCCTCCTCCTCCTCCTTCTCCTCCTCCTCCTCCTCCTCCTCCTCCCCCTCCTCCTCCGCCTCCTCCTTCTCCGCCTCCTCCTCCTCCGTCTCCTCCCCCTCCTCAGTCCTCAGTCCTCAGCTCTCAGTCCTCAGTCCTCAGTCCTCAGTCCTCCTCCTCCTCCTCCATTATCCTTCCTGTCCGCTCCTCTTCCTCCTCCTCGCCACCCCCCCCCCCGCCTTCCTCCTCGCCGTCTTTCTCCCTCCTCCTCCTCCGTCCCTCCCTCCTCCTGCTGTTCTGGCTGCTCGCTTTCCCTACTCCCCCGCACGCAATATGCACCGCCCCCCTCTTGACCGCGCAAAACCCGACGTCACGACGGGGGGTCCTTACGGGGGTCCCATGTCCGCATGCCACCCGTCGGCGGAGGGCGAAAAATCAACGCAGCACGAAGGGATGAGGGGGGGGAGGATGTCACATATGTCGGGTCGGGCGAAAGGGGGGGATAGCAAAGGGGGGGTTTGAGAATCAGCTCACGTAGCTGATTTTCCTGGCGCCTCCCATCGCCGGAGGCGGCGATGTATCGAGGAATGGGCCCCTCGGTGAGGCCGAAACCAGCTGCATGCAGCAAATTTCGTAACCCCCCCTTTCCCAATCCCCCCCTTTCGTCCGGTCCGAATATGGCGTGTGCGCGCCTAGCTTGCCGCCTCCTCTCTCCTCCCCCTCCGCCCTCCTCGGCAAGGGCACATGGCCCTCCATGGGGCCCGCGGATCTTTCCGAGAAGCCCACCCCCGCCTTCAAGGAAAGCCGCCTTTCGCTCAGGGCACCGATCCCTGTGCGGTTCGCACGCCCCTGGCCAGGCCCATCCTGGGCCCAGTAGCGGTTCGCACGTCCCCACTGGCAGAGCCAGGGAAGCATACACACGCCGATCCTGGGCTCGGAATGGGCCTGGCCAGACTCGGCGGACACGCGTAGACCTCGTCGCCCCACAGACGGGGGCCGGCGAGCACAAGCGTTCACAAGCCCACACTCGGGCCCGTGGGTCTGAGCGGGCACGGCATCCCGGCCACGCCGGAAGTCGATATCTCCGAACATCCGACATCGTGCTTTCTTCGTCACCTGGTCTCCCCAAGAGTCTGGACCCCATTCCCGGGACCGTCTTGGATCGCATCGCACCGCCAGCAAAACGAGAAGTGTCTGAACCATTCCAACCGCCTTCTCTCTCTTGACAAGTTTTGTTTGCCAGGACAGAACGCCTGGACGACACAATCCGAAGAAGAAAGGTGCCCAAGGTGCCTACATGAATTCACACCCAATCAGACCTCGCAACATGATTGACAGCGCAGACAGGCCCTAGGCGTCCAATCTGCACCGCCGATGCGAGGCGCTTCAAGATGCAACCCCGAGACACGGCCACTGGCCTCTCAAGCAGAGGAGACCCCACTGCCCGAGGACTTTCGTTCCCGCGCCCACCCCCGTCGGGAGACCCCCTTCGAATAACCTCATCTCGGGTTTCTCAGGGGTGGTACGGCGCAGCGGTTCAAAACTGTGTCCGAACTGTTGCGTTGTATGGGAAACGAAAAATGGCATAAACATGAAAACTCAAAGGTCCGCGCGGACTCCTCGGATCGGCGCTGGGGCCCCCTGGCGGCGCCTCCAGCGCCGCCCCTGGCGCGCTCCGAACGCCTGGGAGGGGGGTCCAGCGCGGATCCGAGAAAT